ATGAACTTCACTTCATTCATAAATTCCCGCCCAAAATTCGATCATCCAACTACACGTAACCAAATGACAAACCGCCCATTTATGGATGGTACTTGTATAGGGAGGCCATGGGTTGCCACACAACCACATATCTTTCCCCCACCCACCAAAAACATAAAAAATAATTCACATAATATAAATTCATAATAAAATATCAAGGCTCACGTATGTCTGGTGTATGTTATAAACTTATATGCTTGCGTCCATATTTAAGATATATTCCGAAGAATTGGAACTATCGATTATTATTTTTATATTAAATGAATTTTATAGTTTGAGTTAGAGAATTAAAAACTGAAATTCACCCATTGAAAATTATAATATAGTATTATGTACCAAATTTAAATTAATTCACTGTCTAAATGAAAAAATTTCATATAAACATATAATAAAAAATGACGTACACTAATCTGAACGCATGATAAGCCCATTATCATTCTCAACCCAACAACAACAAAATAAATCCCGTCACCCCATAAAGACCACCTCCGCCAAACCACCATCCTCTCTCCTCTATTCGACCACCACAATTAACCCTCCGCCATGCCTCCTCCTCCGACCTCCGCCGCCACCCTCCAATGGCTAAGCCTGGTGGCAATAATCTGGCTCCAATCCGTCAACGGCACCAACACCACTTTCCCCGCCTACTCCTCCCAACTCAAAAACCTCCTCTCCCTCTCCCAACTCCAACTCAACAACCTCGCCTTCGCCTCCGATGCCGGCAAGCTCTTCGGCTTCATCTCCGGCTTCGCCGCCCTCCACCTCCCCCTCCCCCTCGTCCTCCTCGCCGGCTCCCTCCTCGGCCTCGCCGGCTACGGCGCTCAGTACCTCTTCCTCACCGGCACGATCATCACCTCCCTCTCCTACCCACAAATCTTCCTCCTCACCGTCCTCGCCGGCAACAGCATCTGCTGGATCAACACCGTCTGCTACGTCGTCGCCGTACGGAACTTCCCCGCCGCCAACCAGCCCCTCACCGTCGGAATCTCTACAGCCTACCAGGGCCTCAGCGCCAAGATCTACACCGTCTTCGCCGCCGCCGTTTTCCCTGCCGCTTCCAAAAATCCCGCCGAGGCCTACTTGCTCCTCAGCTCCCTCCTCCCTCTCCTCGTCACGACGTTCACCGCTCCGCTCCTCCGCGACGGAGGAGCGGAGCGGGAAATGGAGGGAGGAGGCGTGGTGGCTATCTTCCTCGTGACGATAGCCACCGGGGTCTACTCGGTGGTCAGCAGTTTGACTTTTTTCCCGATGTCGCCGTCGAGGGGCGCGGTCGGGATATCCGCGTTCCTCCTGGCGCCGCTCGCCGTCCCGATCGTGATAAAGCTGCGGCGGGAACTGAACGTGGCGGGTAAGAAGAAGGGCAGTACGAGGATCTACACGATGAACTACGGGGAGGAGATAGACATTGGTCGGGTCGAAAACGGCGTCGCGGAAGGGACACGTGGCGGCGGGGAGGGTGGTGAGGCGAAGTTGCCGATGGAGATGGCGGTTACTGCTATTAGTGACGAGGGGAAAAGTGGTGGCGAGAATAAGGAGGGGTTCGTGGGGGTGGGAGTGATGGTGAAGAGAGTGGAGTTTTGGGTGTATTTCGGGGCGTATCTGTGTGGGCCCACGATTGGGCTGGTTTTCTTGAATAACTTGGGCCAGATCGCGGAGTCGCGTGGGGAGCTCCGGACAGCGTCTTTGGTCGCGTTGTCTTCTTCGTTCGGGTTCTTCGGTCGCCTCGTTCCGTCGTTTCTTGACTACTTTCTGGCCAGGTTAGTTCATTGTTGCTTTCACGAGTTACGTCGTCGTTTGGTATTTATAATATATGAGTGTTTAACTGTTTATTGACTTTCTCTTCTGCAAATTAATTATTCTTTTTAATGGATTCCTTGCCACACAATGTGTTGCAATAAAAGCCCTAGTTATAGCGACCTTCTATGTACCAAGAAATTCGAAACCAATGCAATTGTGCGGCTTCAAATGTGACTCGTTGATTCTTCATTTGTTTATTTCGATGAATATTGATACTTTTTAGCAATAATTTGTTTCATAAAATTGAATTAATAACGAATATTCCATCAATTTCTTTTTTTTATAGATAAGGGTGATATAGATTATATTTTGTAATTAGATACTACTGAAGGGATTTGAACCTGGGACCTCCAGGTTCAAGGCTAGTAGTATTACCACTAGACCAATCCCTTGTTCGTGAATATTCCATCAATTTCTCGGTTGGTTGAATTCAAGTTATGCCTAGTTAATCTTAGAATTTATTCATGTCTATCATAAAGTGCGTTTGATCTATAAATACGCGTAACAAAAGGTCTAATAAATGATAGTCATAAAATGAAACTAAAACCAACCTTTATACAAACTATATATGCAATAGTATCATTGAGATGTCAAAGGAAATTTGAAGTACTTAGCCCGACACAAGGACATACTCACCTGATTCAGATAAACACCTGAAAGTGATTCTAACTCGTTGAACGAAATCGGATCTGATGGTTGTACATCTGGTATGTTTATTTTTAGTTTAATGCATTTTCACCCTTTATAAAATAAACTAGTTGTACTATAAGCCATATGTAACATCAATGTGTCTGTTTAGAATTTTTGTGAAATCTCATTTCATTTTGGAGTCTTAAAACAACGAGTTTGAATACTCTGTAAATTTTTTGCTTGCTTTCTGCCTCCTTTAATTAGTAATATATAGTTGTACATCTCTTTCTTTAGAACATAACTCATATTTCCCTATTCATGGCATGCCCCACTTTGTAGCTACAAATATCAGCCACATATATGATCTATACGCATGTCCTACGAAACATAACATATACGGTTTTCCATGTCCCTATATGTTGTCTGAATCAAGGATCACCAATTCACCATTAAATGCCTTCTCCAGCTTGCTTCTCCCCTTTCATTAACTTCTTAAACCCTACCAACACTCTTGTTTAAACCTAACACTAACATTTGTGCGGTCGAACAATTTCATGGGGCGCAGGAGTAGGTGCAAGATATCAAGGCCAGCGTCCATAGCGGCATTGATGGCGCCGATGGCAGCAGCTTTCTTCCTCCTCGTCATCAACACCACCGCCTCCTTCAACCACGTCGCCCTCTACGTCAGCACCGCCGTTATCGGCGTCTGTACGGGCGCCATTACTTCCATCTCCGTTTCGACGACGTCCGACCTCTTCGGGACGGCCAACTTCAGCCTCAACCACAACATCGTCGTGGCAAACATCCCGCTGGGATCCTTCGCGTTCGGGTACCTGGCCGCGTTCTTTTACCACCGGGAAGGCGGCGGCGGCGGGAAGTGCATGGGGATGTTGTGTTATAGAGATACTTTCGTGATATGGGGGTCGCTTTGTGGGTTTGGGACGTTGCTTGCTCTCGTGCTTCATGCTCGGACCAGGAAGTTGTATTCCCAAACGGTTTTGGCTACTTGATTCAAGTGTATACATACGGTAGCGTATAGATATATAGTATAGTTGATGAAGGTTATACATAGCTAGGTCACTTGCATGATAGTTGACACAAGACAAAAAGTAGAGCTAGGTCTATATATAGTGGCAACCAAATGACATATTATATATTTATTATTAATTGATCAAGTTGACCATTGCATATTTTAGTTTTGTTTTCTATTTCTAATTTTATGTATCGTATCACTTTAACAAGCACATTATTTGTACGATAAGAGGATAGACAAAAATGTTACTCGAATTTACCTGCTTTCTTAATTTTTAATCATACATTAAGGGATCGTTTGAAAGTTGCGAATGTTAAATCGTTGCATTGTAATGAATCACCATAATATAAATGCATGTATTGATACAATGAATGCATTTTAACAATACATTGTTTGGTTGTTGAGATTTTACTTTACGCATTGATTTACATAAAGTTACTTTTATGGGGAAATGTCATATTTACCCTCAACTTTTAGTATAAGACAAAAACTATTAGAGATATAAATGGAAAGAAAAAGTTGACACAAATCTAAAAGCAACAATCACAACAATCTCAACTTTTTGTTTAGATTGTATAATGCATCATTTTTTGTGATTGTATAATGCATTGTTTTACACTTTGACACTTCCAAACATTGTATTGTGCACAACACATGTATTCAACAAACACAACTCTAACAATCACAACTTCCAAACGACCCCTAAGAGTTTTATTACTCTTAGTTATAATTAGGATGGAACGTCATGCTTAATTGGTAAGAGTACAATTCAAATGGCTGACATTTGCGACTTAATGTATATGTTGAACATTTGTTGTCACATGTAATTCGAATTTTAAATCCTTGCATGTATTTCCTAATGGTTAAGATGCATAAGTTAATTGGCTTATAGACAAATTGTCAAGTTGTGGGAAAATCATTGAGTGGTGAAATATGGATTTTCAAGTAAAATCAAATGATTAAGGATACAATAGAACTTCCCTTTGGGTCATTGCCAATTACAGGTCTTCCTCCACCAAACACTGATCTAGCGCGAAGAACGCACAACATAAATCATAGAGAAAGATGACAGATTTAGACTCCGTTGATCTGTATAAAAACTAGCTATTGCAGTTGAGGTGAAAGATAATGAGCCGACCTAAAATTGTATCTTTCATTTTCTCTGGATGGCACACCAAAGTCGTTTGACGACGAACATAGAGAGGATGAAGAAATGTTTGACGAGGAATGCAGGACTTAGAACTAATGCTGAAAGAGCATGTCATTGTTGATAATCAGAGATACGCCTTAATCATCCATCGTATTCAACACTCGATGCGCAACTCTCACGAGGTTAGGGTAGTGTACATCTACAGAAAACAACATCATGTGGCTGACTTCCTAGCCAACAACGAACAAACCATTCCGACATGCGATTTAATTTTTTTAAACTGAAACTGTATATGGTCATTAGTTATTTCGCGATGTATTGTGCCCTGCCTACTAAGCATATGAAATTTACACTGTTTGTAACCAATTTGGACAAGAAACACACAATCTAGAAATGGATAAGTGATACACGATACACGGATGTGTTCGTTAAAACTAATGAAAGGATGTGTACCTAATACAATTTCTGTAAAACAGACAAAGGACTTGAAAAATTGTCCATCTTAATTAAGTGACAAAAAGTGAATTAGGTGGAAATTCGGTATGCATGCCAAAATGCCACCGAGTGAGTCATGGGAGCGTTCAAGTGTCAAGACAAAGGGGTCAGTGTTCTTAATAGCACAGGTCTGTGACCGTCCATGCCCACAAAATTAAGACTCAACTGCTGCTGTCTCTATCAAATGGAATTGGTGTAGAAGTAGCTTACGCTTCTCCTCTATCTTCCACATGAGTAGCAGCATCACAACTGCAAAAATTCGCTTGGGCGGCCATAAGTCTAATCACAGTTCACACCCGGGCATGCCAGAACTCCTGAAATGCTGCAGACCAATAGCACATGTAAGAGTTATGAAGCGTACCAGAGCAGAATCACAATGGCACTTCGTGTGAAATAACCGTGTCTAGCAGAAGGAAAGGAAATGCTGACATTCACAAGACCCTTTCCCCGGTTCTGGAAAAGAACAATTCAGGACCAGAATGACTGCAAATCAAGCTCACGAATTGGAAGAGTAAGGCAAGCAGTGCAATTACCAATTGGGTTTACAAGTTCTCAGAACCAATGCTGGGTCTACCGGGATAGCTCTCCTTCCATGCCTTCCAGGCGCTCCTAACTTGATCTAATTCTGCATCGGGGATAGGCGTGTGTTCATCCAGCTTCTCCACCCATTCCAGCCAAGGGGACCTAGATGGATCCAAAAACTGAGACACTTGGGGCAACATTTTGCTAATGTAGAATTCATCGACTCCCCTTTGAATTTCTTCTGATTCGGCCAATGCCTGCATCTCGGGCCGTGTCCCTTCTCGAGCTTTTCTCTTCAGCGAGTAATTGCTTCCCCTCAAAATCAGAACTTCTGAAGGAGCAAGCGGCAGTACAATCCTTGAAAATTTTGCCAGTGACAATGTTAAGATGTCCTTTGGGAGCAGCCCACGTTTTACTGCTACTGCAGTTCCAACCATTTTCCGGATCTGATGAAAAAGCATAACAAATGGGAATTGGTCTTCTAATTTTATGAAACTCATTTTATAAATGTAGCTCTGAACGACATGCTTAATTACCTGGTGTAGCATGAAAGACTCCCCCCATATAGAAATCTCAACAAAGTCATGTCCAGATGATTTCTCCAGCTCTCCGCATGAACAGTGAATAATCCTTCTGAAGTGTGGAGCACCTATTCTGTCTCTCACATCCGGTTCGTGTAGCCATCTTGCACGGACAGCAACACTTGAGCTTTGATCCTTCAACGGGTCACCACTTTGACCAGAAACTGCTTCAGAGTGATCTAAAGGAACATTGTCATCAACGGGTAGCATTTCTTCTTCTTTTTCTTCTTCTTCATCGCTCTCCTGGTCACTATCGGAGGCTATCATCTGAATAGATGATCGGTCTCCTTCTGAGAAATGGCCAATTTTTTCAGGAGGTCTGTTTCGACGACTTTTTCTCCTGTATTTTGCCCGGACCGTATAGTTATGAAAAGGATGATCTCCCTACAAAGAGCATCCAAAACTATAACACAGTCAACTTCTATCACAATTCCAATCATCCTTCGAATCTATTATCCAATTACAAGATGGTTTAAATAAGTTCTCATGGGAGAGCCACTCCATTAGGTTTCGCACGGATGAGTTCATATTTCAGAAAGAAGTAACACAATAGGGACTAGAAACAGCAAAAAGGAAAAGAGAAATGCTACCTCAAAGGTATTTAGCATCTTCCTGAAGTCTGATATGTGCTCATTAATTTCAGCCATAGTAGAGAAGCTTTTGATACCAATGATCTCAGCGGGAAGAAGGTACGAATATTTTCTCAAATCACACTCCATTCTAGGATCAAAGCTTCTGCGTGAATGTATCAAGAATCAGAGTGCTGTATTATGTAACCGAAACGGCATAACTGTTGAAAGAATCAGAGTGCTGTAACAAGAAGCCATTCTCAAACATTAAAATCAACACACAATCCAATTATGAGGATCAGCACTGTAAGAAAACAGCTAAAGGACTAACTTCTGAGCAGGTAGAATGCTGAAAATTCTGATACTGTCTGGAAGATTAGAGTTAACCGTCCTAGCAAGAACAATGCCATAAGGATCCTCCTTCCATGCATTCTCTGGTATCTCCAGTTTCATCGAAATTGTTGTAGCCAACGAATGGACCTAATTCAGCAACAAAAGCAAAATTATTGGATGAATATATCATGAGGCAAAATGAAATAGTTGGTCAAACAAACTAAACGAAAGTGAAAATGCCAAGAAAGTAGTTTATTCATAAAGCTCACTCCTTTATCTGTGCGGCTGCTTCGAGCCCATCCAATTTTGCTTAAATGCCCATAATTGCTCTCACGAATCCCGCCAGCTTTGAATATGGCATCTTCCAGCTCTGATTCAATGGCTACAAAACCAAAAATCCCCATAAACATTCATCTTTTCTAAAAAAAACATGAGCTGGAGCTTTCTTAAGTTGGAATTGAAGACACTATGCATTAGTGATTCCACAAAAGACTCGGTAGAACTCACTAGACAATGAATGCTCATCGTATTGCTTCTGGAGACCTCTGTAATTGGTACCAACATAGCCCACTCGCAGAACAACCTTCTTCTTACGGAAAGGTTCCCACTTTTCAGCGGAGGAATGGTGGTCCTGACTTGGGCTTGACACAGTATGAACTTGAGTAGAGGCTAACGGGGACAAATTGGAACAGTAGCAGCATACTGAGGCAAGTGAACTACGTTTGGATGGCAATGCTACTGGTGGGAGTTTAACGGAGCTCTGGTAAGTCTTGACAAGCCATGGGGAAAGCGAGTATCGCATGGAAAGCATACTTCCAGGAAATGTAGATGCAACTCCGCCTGTTGAACAAACTGCACCATAAGGGTAAAGGAAACAGTTAAGAGCAGTCTCCAGAAGGAACTAACACACTAAACTATCAATCACTGAGCCACGACTCGATTCACTGGCTAACAGTTGTGAACTCCTGAATCTAGTTCTGCTAGTCTCTAAGCAATCAGTAGCAGGCGAATGAACATTGAACACCAGCTCTGTCAAGCATTTCATCAAACACCTGGTGTACAGATTCAGAGCTCCATACTGGCAAAGTTACACAGACCAGCGGCAGAAAAAAGAAGACTACACGGAAGCAGAAGAAGAATGAGACTTCGCAGAAATTTACCGGTCGCCAGTTGCGAGCTTCACTTTCGCTATCCGGAGCAGACGATAAAGCGCTCCCGGCGAGATGGAGAAAGAAAGAATTCCGATATCGCAGTCCACGAGTGCAAAAATGGTCCAAGACGGTGCCGTTTACCGGTTCTGTCGTCGTTGCCATTTTCTACCTTGTTGCCCGGCGGGCCCATCTCAACAACTTTTATTTAATTTTAGCATTACTTTTTGTTTTTGTTTTGCATAGTGTATATGCTGTCTTTCTATCTCCAATTTGTCTCGTCAGATTTTATCTTCTCCTCCTTCGTCCTTCCTTCCCAATCCTCGCTCAGTGTATCCTTAGTTAAACCCTACAAATCTCACAGAGGAGAGCCCCTCTTACAAATCTGGAAATCTTCATATCCGCTAATCTCCGGAGGGATTGAAGGAGCTTCGCGGCGGCGGCGATAATGAATCCCGCTATGTTATCCGTCACTCCGTCTTCTTCCTCTTCTGCCTCCACGCCGGCGCTGTTCTCACCTTTCATCAACCCTTCGCCTCTCCGTCTCACGCCCTCGTCTCTCTCCCTCCCCTCCCGCCGGCGTGTCAGAGTATCCGTCCCTCGTAACTCAGCCGATGTATCGCCGCCCGATGACTCGGCTGCTTCAGCTGCACCGCCCGCCACCACCACCAGTGTTTTCGGAGAGAGGAAGGAGTTGACCGGGATTCAGCCCTTGGTGGATGGCCTTTCTCCGCCGCTCAGGTTGGCTAGTTCCGCCGTAATTCTGGCTGGAGCTGTTGCGGCCGGGTATGGTTTGGGGCTGCGATTCGGCGGGAACCGCAATTTGGCTCTGGGCGGGGCGGCTGCTATGGGCGCTGCCGGTGGAGCCATGGTATACGCGTTGAATGCTGCCGTTCCGGAGGTTGCAGCCGCTAGTTTGCATAATTATGTTGCCGGTTTCGATGATCCCGGAGCTGTTAAGAAGGAGGAAATTGAACAGATTGCCAAAAAGTCGGTTCCTTCCTGTTGTGATTTTCACAGTTATTTGCATTTCCTGATTATCCTGCTATGGCATTTATGTGAGGCGATGAAACTCGCGTTCCCTTCATTCTTTAGCTTACCTTCGTCGGCTTTGGCAAGTTTTGAATTTTGGGGTTTCAATGTTTGAAATTTCAGATATGGTGTGAGCAAAACAGATCAAGTGTTCAGTGCAGAACTTGCAGAATTGTACTGCCGGTGAGTTCATATAGTCTGTCCAGGACGAACATTGTTGTTTCTAAGTCTTAAGCTGGTTTCACTTTGACCAATGCATTGAACGCTTGTGTCTTCTAGATTTGTTTCCTCTGTTCTACCTCCTGGGAGTGAAGACCTTAAAGGCAATGAAGTTGAAACGATAATCAACTTCAAGAATGCTTTGGGGATTGACGATCCTGATGCAGCTGCTATGCACATGGAGGTACTGCATCATCACGCAATGGTTTTCATCATTGATAGATATAGCGGATATGTTGAAGATTAGAGTTTGTGCATCTTAGGGAGCTTTGGATTAACGTGTCATTATGAATCTTGGCCTATAGATCGGTAGGCGCATTTTCAGGCAAAGGCTTGAAACTGGTGACCGTGATGGAGACGTTGAGCAACGCCGGGTAAGTTATTAGTAAGTGTTTTACGCTTTTTTGTAGTTTAAATGTACTTGTGCTTTATCTGTTTTTCCTCAAATTGATGTATGGTGCTTGATCATTTTGTACTAATTTTCCAGTGCAGGCATTTCAGAAGTTGGTCTATGTTTCATCTCTTGTTTTTGGGCAAGCATCGTCCTTCCTTTTACCTTGGAAGAGGGTGTTCAAGGTCACTGATTCACAGGTATTGGCTCATTCTTGGTTACTGGTTTAAGTATGCATTGCATTTTGGATATATGGTTAATGTCTGGATGTCATCATCGCATAGTTTTTGTTATTTTAATATGTTATTTTTGGCGGATGTTTTTATTTATGTTATTGTTTCCTTGATTTGTTGCAACATTATCACTGTTTTATGCTTTTTCCAGGTTGAAATTTCTATCCGTGATAATGCCCAGAGATTGTATGCTTCGAAGCTAAAATCAGTTGGTAGAGGTAATTGCAACAATTGTTTCGAGTCTCTACAGTACTTGTTTAATGCTTTTGTTTCCTCATTTTCATTGCAACTATTTAGTGCGGTTCTCAACATTGATCTGTTTGTATGTTGTCCAATTATGTATGTCCGTTTCAGTTGTCCACTAGATTAAGATATATCTACCAACCAATTGGGGATCAGTTTATGTAGAAGGAAAAATGTGCTATTTCTTATTGAAGCAAGGATAAAATCCTGCCTGGTTTATCACAAACTGAATTAATGCTCTCCTGAATGGAGCAAATTGCGTGCTTAGATGCTCTTCATGCTCATTTTGAAGAATATTCTTTAGCTTCTGCTGTTCTGAAGTACTTGTACACTTTTAATGGGAAATTACTATAGATTTTGACCTCATTTGGATTGCTTGCTTGTGCCATTATCTTTACTGAAATGTTCAGGCGTTGGGCTTGTTGTCCCTTGTTGTGCTTGAAGAGGGAACTCACATGTTTTGTTTAAGGAATACAGATATTAGGGCATATGCTTATCCAAATGGAAAGTTAATTTAAGGGACTGTGAATGATTTTCGATCTACGCTTCAGTTTGTTGAAAATATGTTTGGATTGTTGCTGGCAGTTGCCTTTTGTTAGCAACTGTGTGCTTGTTTCTTATCTTCATCTTCATCTTGGACTTTAGACATTTGAGCAGTTTCAGGATTAATATGTTTCTCTTTTCCTCTCTTCCCTTTTTCAGATATTGATGCAGAGCAGCTCGTGAACCTCAGAGAATCACAACTTTCATACAAACTATCTGACGAGGTACTTTTACAGATTGTCTGTGTTTCTTGTGATCAGCAAACTTTTATTCATACAATGTTATGTTTCATACAGCTGGCTGAGGACTTATTCCGGAACCATACAAGGAAGCTGATCGAAGGAAACATATCTGTTGCACTTGATATTCTGAAGACTAGAACAAAAGCAGCGTAAGATCAAAATCATCCAACTTAAATGTTAGCACGTTTCAGTTTGACTCCAAAAGTTACTGGTGTATGGATTTTCCAATATCTGATAGTATTTCAAATATTTTAACCAACTATTTCCATCTTTATCACGATGGAAGTAATACATTAAGTTTCTGCTTAACTAAATAACAGTGAATGTTATTTTACAGCACTGGATTGAAGCAAGTAGTGGAAGAAATTGATGTCATTCTGGCATTCAATGATAAACTTATTTCTCTGAAAAACCATGCTGATGCTGATCGTTTTGCTCGTGGAGTCGGTCCAGTGTCTGTACTAGGTATTATGCTTGTCGAACTCTTTCTTTCTTTGGTTCCAGTATACATATGATGCATAAGCTCAAACATACTATGGTGGTTTTGCTCAGGTGGTGAGTATGCTAGTGACAGAAAAATGGACGACTTGAAGCTTCTATACAGAGTATATGTCACAGATGCTTTATCTGGTGGTCAGATGGAAGACAGTAAGGTGAACCTTATTACGGATAGCAGTCTTTTCCTGTTTCAAGCGTGTTTGTATTGTATCGGGATAGCAATAGTATAACCTCTCAGATCATTATAAATGATTGGATGCTGTGTTTGGTTACTGAAACTCTATGAGCGACCTACTAGATTGTGATGTAAAGCAGTGTTATTTTATTTGCATGTGGTTATGGAAAATTTGAGAGTTTTCTGGTCGAGCTCATTAAGAAAGAACCATTTATACTGCTATAGAATCTTTTGGTATACCATTGGTTGGACTTCTGTGCTGAAGTCTGCTCCTCGGCTAGTTCGAATTATGTTCTGTGAACTTTTTTCAAATTTATCATTACAAATTAAATCATTCTTTTTTTGTTAACAGGAGTTAAGTTTGAAATATAGGGATTCCTATTCCTTAATCACATTGAATTATGAAAAATCTGTTAATTTCTTTCACTGGATTGCAATACGTTAATTGGGCTCTTCCTGAGGTTCTTATCATACTTGTATATAGTATTCATGCACTACGTTTTTATTCTGGTTTTACATGGGATCTAAGCATTATTTTTCTCATCAATACTTCTTGGGAGTGCACTCTTTAACTTCTAGACTAGCTTAAGCATTTCCTTACGTAATTTATTTTGACTGTGATATAATGAATCGACCTCTGTCCTATTTTGTAGGTTGCCTCATTGAACCAGTTAAAGAATATATTTGGCCTGGGTAAAAGAGAATCAGAGGCAATCACACTTGAGGTTACCTCAAAGGTGTACAGAAAACGGCTTTCACAGGCAGTTTCTGGTGGTGATTTGGAGGTGGCAGATAGCAAGGCAGCCTTCTTACAGAATTTATGTGAGGAATTGCACTTTGATCCACTCAAAGCAAAAGAGATTCATGAAGGTAAAGAGCTTGTCTTCTCAATATGGTCTAGTACTTTGTCCATATAATTTTAATTCTGTGGCTGTACTTCTTTTGTGAATGACATTTGTTTCCATTCCTTAAGAAATATACCGCCAAAAGCTTCAGCAATGCATAGCTGATGGAGAGCTTAGTGAGGCGAATGTCAAAAGTCTGCTGCGGTTGAGAGTCATGCTTTGTATCCCAGAGCAGACCATCGAAGCGGCTCATGCCGATATCTGTGGCGGCCTGTTTGAGAAGGTACAGTTTCTTTCATTGCAAAAACTTTCTGGTACGACTTGCCAACAAATGTGTACAATTAGTTGATGCCTTTTTCCGAGAGATGCATGTGCTTCTAAGTCCTGTCTGTTTCAGTTTTAAAGTTGAACAGTTGAGTGAGAGCACTGTAATCTCAATTTTCCTGTGGGTGCTATGCTCAGTATATATGCCTGAGCAGCAAAGGATTACCGTGACTATAGCTGTAGACAATTTTGGTCAACCTTTTGTCACTCACAATTGTGTTTTTTCTTGATCAGGTCGTCAAGGATGCTATTGCTTCAGGCATTGATGGTTATGACATGGATGTTAGGAAGGCTGTTAGAAAGGCAGCCCATGGGCTGAAGTTATCTCGTGAGGCAGCAATGTCTATTGCCAGCAAGGCTGTAAGTGGAACCTTTACTCC